CCCATTTTTGCAGAGATCAAACCACACACACTGGGAAAATGCTCTACCTCTGAGATGCACTCCAGCCTTTTTTCTTTTCTGTCTGTCTTCCTCCCTCCCCTCACTTCCTTTAACTTCCCTTCTTTTCCTGATGGTGCTGAGGACTGAACCCAGGACCTTCTACAAGCTAGGCAAGCACTCTAGCACTGAGCCACATCCCCAGACTCTTTTTACTTCCTGAGACAGGGTCTTATCACATCGCCCTGGCTGGCCTCGAGCTCACTCTACCACCCAGGTAGGCCTTGAACTGAAATCTTCCTGCCTCAGCCTCCCAAATAGCTGGGATGACAGGTCTGGCAGATATGTTCTGAGATGTGCCTGGTCAGGTGAGTTCATTGCTGCGGGAATACCATGGGGCATGCCTATGTAAACCCTGCTGTGACTGGGCATCCACAGGCCAGCTTGGAGGCTGAGATGACTCAAGTACAGGTGCCTGCTGGGAAGGTAACTCACCCAGTGGGCAGGGCCCACACCTGGCTGGGGACCTAATTATGATGGCTTCATCTGGAGCCTGTCCCAGAAACCTCAGCTCAATATACTAAAGGTTCACAAGGGAGGATGACTCAAGTACAGGTGCCTGCCGGGAAGGTGACTCACCCAGTGGGCAGGGCCCACACCTGGCTGGGGACCTAATTATGGAGCCTGTCCCAGAAACCTCAGCTCAATATACTAAAGGTTCACAAGGGAGATCAACAGACAGAAGAAGAAACAAGCTGCCTGCAGGAAGGGGACCCACAGTGGAGTCGGGCTACCCCGGTTCAAATCCCAGCTTCACCCTACAGGGGCTGCCTGTGCTCTGCTGGCCTCTCCTCCGCAGTCTCTGTCACCTCACCTGTAAAACGGGCCGAGGTTTCCTATCCCACAGGGGTTGGTGCGCGAGGAGAGCAAAACTGTGGGGAAGGCCTTCTCGCACAGGGTGACAAAGCAAAGGACTCCAGTGACCCCAGCCCACACCTACCGTTCTCTTCCAAGAACCGGAAGGCATCGAGGTATCCTTGAAAGCAGAGCTCTCCCGCCACCTACAAGCAAATCAGGCAGGTAAACTGCAGGGGCCACGAATGCCATGCCCCCTGAGGACCGGGAACATTGCGAGGGACCTGGGTCCACACAGAGAGGGAGCACCTGACTTTGTGCTTCCCCAGGAGTCTGCTCTGCCATCATCGGCACAGAGACTCTGGATACTCCTACTGTCCCTGGGACAATCACCACTGAGCTGGGTGACTGTGACACCTTGGGTACAAGCAGTCATCTTCTCCCAGAACACACCCTGACGATATGCACTGTACAAATGGTCTTTGCATGGCAAAGTGGGAGGCACACTAAAAGACCAACCAGAAAAGGATATCCCTGGGGGCAGTGGTTCTCCTCCATGGCACAGATCAGAGTCACATTAGAAACTAAAAAGATGAAAAATTGTGGGAAGGAAGAAAGGAGGGGGGAGGGGG